TGGGTTCAGACTTAAAAGACCATCAACTTAATACAGACTACTATATGTAGAAGATGTTATGTACAAATTTAATGGTAACCACAAATCAAAATACCACTAATACATATGCAAAGACTCAATAGAAAGAAATCCAAAAATCTCACTAAAGAAAACCAGCAAACTATGAAAGAAAGGATCAGAGAAAATCTTCAGAAACAACCACATAACAAGTAATAAAATGGCAATAGATATATCTTCTCTCTCTCAATAATTACTTTGAATTTAAATGGACTAAACACTCCAAAGATACAGGGTGACAGATGGATTAAAAAAAGAAAAAAAAAAAAAAAGACCCAGTACATGCTGCCTACAAGAGACTCATTTTAGACCTTAAGACAGCTGCAGATTGCAAGTGAAGGGATGGAGAACCATTTATCATGCAAATGGATGTCAAAAGAAAGCTGGAGTAGCAATACTTATAACAGGTAAAATAGGCTTTAAAACAAAGACTGTAACAGGAGACAACAAAGGGCACTATATAATAATGGCAACAATCTGACAAAGACATAACAATTGTAAATATTTATGCACCCAACATGGGAGCACCCAAATACATAAAGCGGTTAATAACAAATGACAGAACTAAAATAATGCAGTAATAGTAGGGGACTTTAACACCCCATTTACATCAATGGACAGATCATCTAAACAGAAAATAAACAAGGAAACAATGGCTTTGAATGACAGACCGGACCAGATGGACTTAACAGATGTATTTAGAACATTCCCTCCTTAAACAGCAGAATATGCATTTTCAAGTACACATGAAACATTCTCTAAAACAGAATACATATTAGGCCACAAAACCAGCCTCAACAAATACAAAAAGATTGAAGTCATACTATGTACCTTTTCTGACCACAACACTATGAATCTAGAGGTCAACAAGAAAAAGTCTGGAATGAGCACAAATACGTGGAGGTCAAATACCATGCTACTAAACAATGAATGGGTCAGGAAATCAAGGAATAAAAAAGTACATGGAAACAAATGAAAATGTAAACACAATGGCCTAAAACATTTTGGATGCAGCAAACACAGTTCTAAGAGGGAAGTTTATAGCAATTCAGGCATAACTCAAGAAGAAAAATCTCATATAAACAACCTAATCTTACACCTAAAGGAGCTACAGAAAAAAACAAACAAAACTCAAAACCAGCAGAAAAAAGGAAATAACAAAGATTAGAGCAGAAATAAATGCTCTAGGAACTAAAAAAAACAATAGAACAGATACAATGAAACCAGAAGTTGGTTCTATGAAAAATTCAATAAAATTGATAAACCTCTAGACAGACTTATCAAAAAGAAAAGAGAAAGGACCCAAATAAATAAGAGATGAGAGAGGAGAAATAACCACCAATACCACAGAAATACAATTAGAATATTATGAAAAACTATATGCCAACAAATTAGACAACCCAGAAGAAATGGATCAATTCCCAGAAACATAAAACCTACCAAAACTGAAATAAGAAGACACAGAAAACTTGAACAGACCAATAACCAGCAAGAAATTGAATCAGTAGTCCAAAAGCTCCCAACAAACAAAGGTCCAGGACGAGATAGAGGGCTTCACAGGTGAATTCTACCAAACATTTAACGAAGGGTTAATACCTACTGTTTTCAAACTACTCCAAAAAATAGAAAAAGTAGGAAAACTTCCTACTTCTACGAGGCCAGCATTACCCTGATACTAAAACCAGATAAAGATACCAGAAAAAAGAGAACTACAGGCCAATATCTCTGATGAACATAGATGCAAAAATCCTCAACAAAATACTAGCAAACCAAATCCAACAATACATTAAAAAAATCATTCACCCTGATCCAGTGGGATTTATTCCTGGGTTGCAAGAGTGGTTCAATATTTGCAAATCAATCAACATCACATCACATGAATAAGAGAAAGGATAAGACTATATGATCATTTCAATAGATGCAGAAAAAGCATTTGACAAAGTACAACATCCATTCATGATAAAAACCCTCTACAAAGTAGTTCTGGAGGGAACATACTTTAACATAAGGCCATATATGAAAAACCCACAGCCAACATTATCCTCAGTGGGGAAAAATGGACAGCCCTTCCCCTAAGTTCAGGAAGAAGACATGGATGTCCAGTCTCAACACCTTTATACAACACAGTATTGGAAGTCCTAGCCACAGCAGTCAGACAACAAAAAGAAATAAAAGGCATCCAAACTGGTAAAGTGAAATGAAACGTTCACTATTTGCAGATGACATAATTCTATATATAGAAAACCTGAAAGACTCCACCAAAAAATTGTTAAAACTGATAATTCAGTCAAGTCACAGGATATAAAATCAGTATACAGGAATCTGTTGCATTCCTATACACCCATAATGAAGCAGAAGAGAAATTAAGAAAACAATCCCTTTTACAATTAATTGCACCAAAAACAATAAGATAGGTAGGAATAAGCCTAACCAAAGAGCTAAAAGGCCTGTACTCTGAAAATTATAATACATTAATGAAGAAATAGAAAAGGACACAAAGAAGTGGAATGACATTTTATGTTCAGGGTTTGGAAGAACAAATGTTATTAGAATGACCATACTGCCCAAAGCAATCTACACATTTAATGCCATCCCTATCCACATATCAACATTTTTCACAAAGTTAGAACAAACAATCCTAAAATTTGAATAGAACCACAAAAGACCCCAAATAGTAAAAGCAATCTTGAAAAAGAAAAGCAAAGCTGGAGGCATTGCAATTCTGGACTTCAGGTTATATTATAAAGCTATAGCCATCAAAACACTATGGTACTGGCACAAAAATAGATACAAAGATCAATGGAACAGAATAGAAGACCTGAAAATAAGCCCACAGTTATATGGTCAATTAATCTTCAACAAAGCATGAAAGAATATCCAGTGGGAAAAGGACAATCTTTTCAACAAATGGTGTTGGGAAAACTGGAGACCCACATGCAAAAGAGTGAAACTGGATGACTTTCCTACACAATAGACAAAAATAAATTCAAAATGGATTAAAGACCTAAATGTGAGACCTGAAACCATAAAAACCCTAGAAGAGCACAGCCAGAAATTTCCCTGACATCAGCCCTACCACTTTTTTGTAGATAGGTCCCCTGAAGCAAGGGAAACAAAAACCAAAATGAACAATTGGGACTACATCAAAAAAAAAAAAAAAAAAAACCACAAAAAAAAACTTCTGCACAGCGAAGAAACCATCAACAAAACTAAAAGGCAAAATTTATGGCATGGGAGAAGATATTTGCAAATGACATATCCCATAAAGTGTTAGTATCCAAAATATACAAAGAACTTATAAAACTCAACACCCCAAAAACAAATAATCCAATTTAAAAAATGGGCAGAAGACATGAACAGACAGATCTCTTTTAGGGAACACATCCAGTTGGCCAAAAGACACTCGAAAAGATGCTCAACATCACTTATTATCAGGGAAATGCAAAGCCAAACCACAATGAGATATCACCTTACACCTGTCAGAATGGCTAAAATTAACAACACAGTAAACAACAGGTGTCAGTGAGGATGTTAGAGGTAGGGAGCTCTTGTGCACTCTTGGTGGGAATACAAATAGTGCAGCAACTGTGGAAAATAGTATGGAGATGGCTCAAGAAATTAAAATTAGAACTACCATACAATCCAGCAATTCCACTTCTGCATACTTATCTGGACAAAATGAAGACACTAATTCAAAAAAATATATGCACCCCTATGTTTACTGTGGCATTATTTACAATAGCCAAGATATGGAAGCTACCTAAGTGTCCATCAACAGATAAAGAAGATGTATGTGTATATATGTATATTTGTATCTACACACACACACACACACAAATATTATTTGGTCATAAAAAAGAATAAAATCTTGTCATTTGTGATAACATGGATAAAGGATAGTATGCTAAATGAAATAAGTCAGAGAAAGGCAAGCACCATGAAATTTCACTTATTTGTGGATTCCAAAAAACAAAAAAGATACAGACAGACTCATAGGTACAGAGAACATTCTGTTATTTGCTGGGGGGTGGGGGGGTGGGGGGTGGGAAACCAGGGTAAGGGGATTGAAAGTTACAAGCTTGCAGCTATAAAATAAATAAATCATAGGAATGTGATGTACAGCATGGGGAATATAGTTAATAATACTCTAACAACTTTGTACCATGACAGATGGTAGCTAGATTTATCATAGTAATCACTTCCTAATGTATATAAATGTTGAAGCACTTATATTGTACACCTGAAACTAGTATAATATTGTATGTCAAATACACAGTGATAAAAAAAATTTTTTAAAAGAATAAATCACATATGGTTGTGCTTTTCCTGAACAGCTTTTTTTTTCATGTATTTAAAAAATTTGATCGTCATCTTGAATTGAGTTAGCTTCTCAAAATCTTTAAGTCCTACATATGTATCAGACATACTGATCTTTCCATATACATTTCCCCATAATCCCCTTTTTTCTTATCCTTAGATGTGTTTTATCTTTACTTTGTCACTTACTGGAGTGATAATTCTTGTAATATTTGATGTATTCTTAGAAGTCCCCATAACTTCTCAAAATTTTTTGAACAAGTAAAAATTTTAAAAAGTATATTTATGTGTAGAAAGCTAACTTCTGTCTAAGACAACAACTCCCAGATGAACAGGACTAGAAGTAGCCTTTCTGGATTAAATTTTAAAGGTGCAGTAATCCCTGGGTATTAATTTTTTTTTTTCCTATTAGCCTAGATCTGAGAAAATGCCTCAGAATTTTCTTATTATTCTAATTTCCACATATTATTGCATTTAAAGAGCAATCAGTCTTGGACATCCTCCTTTGAGGTCTCCCTCTAATACACAGAATGTTGATTTTTGGGTTCCACTGGAATGGTCAGCATTCAAGGGTACATCTCGCCTCTTGAACCTGCACCTTCCCCCCCCACCGCCCCCAGTCTTACCTGCAAGGCCTGCAAGTCTGAGAAGGTCTTAGCCGGGATTGTATGAATGCCATTGCTGTGCAGCATTAGCAACTCCAGTTTGTTCAGGCCAGAAAAATCCATTTCTGTCAATCTAACCAAGCTGTTGTACCTGAAATTAAAATGTCAGGCATAAGCTAAGCCTGTCAGCTGCAGTTCAGATGTCAAAGCAACAGTGCATGCACGCACGTCCACACACAAAGACTGTAGCTCCCTTTTTATTTATTTTTATTTTTTTAAAAGATTTTATTTGAGAAAGAGAGAGAGAGCATGTGATGGGGGCAGAGAGAGAGGGAGAAGCAGGCTCCCCACTGAGTAGAGAGCCCAGTGCGGGGCTCAATCCCAGAACCCCGGGATCATGACCTGAGCCAAAGGCAGACTCTTAACCAACTGAGCCACTCAGGTGCCCCAATACCTCCCTTTTTATAACCTGTGCTCGAAGGAGAAAATCAAATGCTTAACATATACTGAGATTCATCAGATGCCACAGAAGGCCCGCCCACTCCCCAGTCCTGGCAGTCTCGGTTACACTGTCCACATTCCCCTTCCTAGGACATACCACATCCCTCCACATTTTCGACCCTTTCTGCATATGCTGTTCCTTCAGCTTGGGATGCCCTTGACTCCACCTCTCTCTACTTGTGACTCCTGGTCAGGCCCAGCCCATTCTTTGAGGACATGCCCGCCTCCCACCCCTTGCTTTTCCAGGTAGAATTTCTCACTATAAAGTAGTGGTTAAGAAACCTGGACTCTTAACCAAAGAGTTTGGCCAAATAGTTTGGCTAGGATTATGAATTTAGGCCTTGGTAGTCAGTCAACCCTGGGTAAAATCAGCAATCTTTCTAAGCCTCCGTTTCTTCATCTATAAAGTGCAAATAATAGAAGTGACTTACAAGGTGTTCTGAGGATTAAGTGAGTGAATACATGGAGAGTGCTTAGCTCAGTGCCAGATCACGGTAAGGGCCCAGTCAGTGTTAGCTATTATCATTAGTGATGGTTCCAAGGTACTTTGTATGCATTCTGATGGTTCTTACTAATTGTACTGATTGTGCATCTGTCTTCTCCATTTCACTCTAGCTTCTAGAAGTGAATAATACATCTTGTTCATTGTTGTATCCCTGGCATATGGTAGGTGCTCACTATTATCAAATACATGATGTTCAATCTGACTGCATGTGCATACATACACACACACCACAGTTTTTCACGAAACTTTAAAATATAGTCACCTTTTAGCAGATTTAGTTAGGTTTACGTTTTTGAAAGAATTTTAAATAAGTCACTTTGCATGAAAAGAAGTCCAAGGGTCTTATTAAAAGATCTAACCAACTTTTCATACATACCTTTTATATATAGGAGGACACTTCCAGTGTCCTATTATCTCCTCTAATTCTTAACAGATGCTATTTTCCAGCAAAAAGGTAGCCAGAATGAAGTTCTTCTGTAATCTTGGGCCTCCCATCCTACGGAGAGTGATTTCAGGTTCTAGAACCTTCTCCTAGTAAAAGTTTACCAGGAAAATGTTGCTTGTTGTCCCTTACAAACTTAAGATCTTCCTGTGCTTATTTCAGATGAGAAATACTGTTAAAACAATTTTGGTTCATCTCCTAAATTCACAAGTTTTGTTTTGCTATTTTGGGGACAAAGCATCAGTGTGATCTCTCTTTGAGAAAGGGACGAGGGCCCCCACTCACCCTAAATTAATGCGCTCCACATCGGGTGAGATGCCGTCTGGGATAGAGGTCAGGTACCGAAATGTGCAGTGCACCTCTGTAGGCACATAGCAGGCACAGCGGCGAGGGCAGGCCTTGCCCCCAGGGCTGGCCACCAGGCACACCACGGAGGAGACCAGCAAGCAGGTGATTCCTCTGCCTTCCACCTTCATTCTGGGTCGGGGCGGGGGGGGGGGGGAGAGAAATCACACCTCAGAGTTATAGGTATGGTTTGAGCAAAGTTCCAGTACAACTACACACACTAAGTCTGGTGATCTGGGAGAGGTTTCTGAAAGGTCGTAAGTAGCTAATTTCATTCATTTACAACTTGTATGGTAAAACTGACTCTTCACATAGCCTTGTGATCAAGTGGGATATTAATTGTTGTGAAAATTCCTTCACAGCTTCTCACTTCTTAATGAAAAGCAATAATCCCTATGACTTAGAGATTCAAGAAAAGAAAAAATAGAGACCATAACAAAGGTATTATGCCAACGGAAATACAGAGGCTTACTTTCCTGTTTACCTGTTAGTTCTTTTAGACCAACTTTTAAAAAACCTGATTATAAAACTAATCATAGAAAGTTTGGAAGCTGTAAATAAGTAGAAGAAAATTACTCATATTCCCACCACCCAGTTATAATCATTAATATTTTGCTGTATTCCTTTCAGCCTTGTATAGGTGGTGTATGTTTCTGTGTGTATGTGTGAGTATATGTGATCAAACGAAATTTGTAACACATTTTATTCATTGAATATATAAGGTCTGTTTTTTGCTTCATTAAACCTTCTTCAAAAACATTTTTAAGAGCTATAATACTCCACTGGAAGGGTGAATAAATCTCAAACATGTCCTCTAGTCCTTGCCAAAAAAGACACATTGCACACTTCACTGCCATGGAATGACCATGAGCCATGGTGACTTACTGGATGAGATAACTTGAGTCTTGCACCTGCACTGGAATGGGCCACCCTTGACCCCTGGAACACAAGCTGCTGGGTGCTTTTGCTTTGCTTAGAATGTCTCTCTGTACCTTTCCTTGGTCCCTCCCCCTCCCCCCCCCCTCCACTTCCTCTTCCCCCTCCTCCTCCTGTCTGCCATGGGAGTGGGGGGGGGGGAGCATCATCAGGGAAGAAATATGCTCAGCTTCTTGGAAAAATGATCTCTATTACCCATGTGTGGGGCAAGCTGAGGGATCCAAACCTAATTTTCTCTTGAAATTCAGAATATACAAGGATTGCAATAAAATTTTTATTGTGCTTTTCTAAGAAAAGTGACCTTCGTAATTTAAATTAATTAATTTATAAATTACATTCCTCAGGATAGAATTGGTTTCTTTGGGATTATACCAGCAGCTATCCTTTAGCCATAAACAACACTAAAAACAGAGGCAGAATTGCTAGTCTTCATATAAAGATAATGGAATTATTATCAGAATTTAGTCCAAATTAAAATTTAATATAGGATTAATCACATGACTTTTGTCATTATAACCATCCAATTACAAAAATTTTAAGTAAACATATGATTGGAGACAGCATTTCCACCTTCCATCATTAGTTAAGTAAAAAAACAAATGATGAGACAAAGGTAATTCTCTCGTTCAGCTAGAAAACAGAAGTTCTGGGTTATGCCCACATGAGAGTTATTTAAAAGAATCACAACTCTACAAGAACGTATGGACAGTGCATTCCCACAAATTTAAACCTGAAAATGTATATAACGAAATAGAAATGGACAGTACCTGAGCTCTTTCCTGGTTCTGAATCCTCTCCTGCCCCAGGCAGAGACAGAAAATCTTAGCAGGAAGTGGAAAACTGTATCCCAAACTGAGTGAGGACAAGTTCTCTGCTCCCCAAAATGAGCAGATGGCTTAGGCTTTTCGGCTTGCAGCTCAGGAGTGATACTCTGGAGAGAGACCTGGAGGGCGTCCACAGATTCAGTGAATTCTAACCCGTGTGTGCCCACATTAATCCAGAATACAGAAGCATTCCTGTATTATAATTGTTACAGAAACAAAAGACAAAGTGGAAGTTTTAAAATTTCCTTTCCCTAAAGTTGTCATTGAAATATAACTATCACTCCATTTTTTCCCCCCAGGTCCCAGGAGTTTCTCTATTTTTGGACAGATCTGTCATAGATGCCCACAATAAGGGTCTCCAGCTACTGAATTAATCTTTGCTCAGAGTGCATCTTTTGCCTGGCGCCAGTCACTGAAGAGGTGACTTGCTCTTGCTTGCTTTAATGGCCCCTCGCTCCCCAGGGCGTCCTCCCCGTGCACTCGCCGGAGCTGCTTCCTGCAGCGGGGCTCGCCGCGTTCCCACGCCGAGCCCCTAGTCTCTCGAGCGTCCCGTCTGTCCCCTTCCAGGAAAGGACTGGCGGAGCCGCTCACCTCTTTGCCCAGGTGACCAGTGGGCTCACGCTGTCAGCAGTGTCCCAAGCTCAGCCGCTGGGTCTCGGGACCTTTCAGAGCCGAGGAGGGAAGGCGGGGCGGGGACCGTGGTGACGTTGACTTGTGTGTCTGGGGACTCCGCCGGGGCTCTGCGGCGCCCGTAAAATAAACGACCACCAAGCTCTTTATTTTTGAGAGAACGCGGGACGCCTGTTCGCCTTCTGTCTCACTTCCTCCTAGACTTCTAATTCCCGTGCAAGTGGGAGCCGGTGGGCAGGACAGTTTCAGTGGCTGGACTTTCATGCCCACGTTGATCTCCTTCACTGTTGACAGGTGGGCCTGTGGGTTTCAGAGTTTGGCTGAGTCACCACCATCTGTAGCTCCCCCAAGTCCTGCCCGAAGGCTGAGAGTTGGCGATGATAACCTGTGATACCTGCGGTTTGAATCTCCTGTTTGGCCCATTTGGAGAAACTCTCTTGTGAAAAGGATCATTGGAGAACTGGATTTAAATGCAATTATTTGCTCGGGTTGTGTTCCCCCCACCCCCTGTCTCCACCCCCACTGTCCAGGAATTGCCACTAGCCGCTGAGACCTTGTTTAATAGCTCCTGCATTTGTAGACCAGGCTTCTGATGTTTTGACTCATAAACACTGAATTAATATAACTAAAATGGCCTTGTTTCACTTTCTCTGGTTATACTGTATATAAGATTTGATGGGAATTTGAAATGAATACTTAAGAACTGTGGAACTCAGGAACAAACAATATCAGCCTCACCTGGGACCCTGTTTAAAAAAAAATGGGTTCTCTGGGCACCTGGGTGGCTCAGGTGGTTGAACGTCTGCCTTGGGCTAGGGTCGTGATCCAGGGGTCCTGGAATCGAGTCCGACATCGGGCTCCCTACTCCTTGGGAAGCCTGCTTCTCCCTCTGCCTCTGCCTCTCTGTCTCTCATGAATAAATAAAAATAAAGTAAAATAATAAATAAATAAGTAAAGAATTCTCAGACTCCATCCCAGAACCACCCCTGAATCAGAAATTGCAGGGATGGGACCTAGAAGTCCGTTTGTTAACAAGCTTTCCAGATGATTCCTGTGTAGCTAAATTTTGAGAATTGCTAGTTTAGGGAAATAACTTCCTATAATGAAAACAAGCTTATCTTGGAGGTTTTACTCTGTGACAAGAACTATTATAAGCATTTTACAAATACTGACTCATTTAAAACTCAGGACACCACCAAAAAACCTAAAAGGAAAGTATTCATGTTATTTCCATTTTGAGGCACATAAAGAAAAGTGACTTACTCCAGGTCATTGCAGCTTTTAAGTAGAGAACCTAAAGTTGACTCAGACCCAGGCAGCCTGGCACTATATAGCTTTAGCAGTTAACCACAGAGCCATGTCTGCCTCACTCAGCCAAACACTGGGAATGTTCCATATCCAATGGCTAAGCATTCAAATGATTTATGGTGAGTAATAAGTTGGTTACCAGGGTGAAATTATAGAATCAGGGACTCAGAAGAAACTCTAGAAGCATGTGTGATATGAACATGGTCTTTAGCTCCTTAGAGCTGACATGATTCTTTAGGTTAAAAATTCATGTGTGTTGTCCAAACTTGGATGATTATTTTGGAAATATGGCATATTTGTGGATTCTTGGAATCAAAAGTTTTTCTTTTAAAGCTCCTGGATGACCAACCACATGGTCAAAGTCAATTTCTAACCAAACTCTGGACTCTCAGACCCCCACTAAGATAAACCACAGGAGAAGGACTGTGACATGTGATATCCCTTTTTTTCCCCAGGGTGGTGACGCGGGGCAAAGTTTTGTGCTGTCAGTTTTGAAGATAACCATTTAGGAATGCTTGCTTGTTTTCTTTTTATGAGGGAAATTTCTACAACTGCTTTATTTCTACAAATGCTGCATAATTCTCAAATATTCTCAAGAGATAGATGCTATAAGTATACCCATTTTTCAGATGAGATTCTGAGGATAAAGGAATTTAAATGAATCAGAGTCAGAATACAATACTGAATTAACTTTTAACTGCAAGGTCCCTGCTCTTTTTTTTTTTTTTTTTAAGATTTTATTTGCGAAAGAGAGCGGGCATGCAGATGGAGGAGGAGGGAGTAGGGGAGAAAGGGTGAGGGGTAAGGGGAGAGAGGGAGGCAGGGGAGGGGGGAGAGGGAGGAGAAGGGAGCAGGGAACCCAAGATGGGGCTGGATCCCAGGATCCTGGGACCATGACCTGAGCCAAAGGCAGATGCTTAACCAACTGAGCCACCCAGGTGCCCCTGCAAGGCCCCTGCTCTTAAGACCCACTTTTCCTAGCCTTCTGCTCTGTTTACATTTACACTACTGTAAAATTTGAAGGGTCCACAGTATATCAAGGATTAAAGTGGACCATTCTCCTTTCCACCCATATTATTAATGCAATTTATTTCTATAGATTAAGATTTACAAATCATTTTCATTTTTTAGTATGTATCATTTAAAGTTTATAAGCAATATGTGAAATTTCAGTGATATTTTATAGAGGAAGAGGCTATAGTTGACTGCACATAGAATTTGCCAAGGTCTCACTGTTGGCAAGGAAATTTAGAGTTAATGTGAACTCCTACACCTGTTTCCTGAGCCATGATCATTCACCTATACTTCCAGCCTGGTTTGCTATTGTAATTACCTCTCACTACAGTTTACCTAATATATATTTTTTTTAAATCACTCTTCTCTCCTTTTTAGTAAGTCTTTCCCTAATATTGGTTAATTTATAGGTTTGATATTTTTTCTAGTAAACATCACAAATATACATCTTTACCCTTTATATCACCCCTGAGAATTTACATCTCACATCTATGTCATCAACATTGCTTCTTATCCTGATACTTACATACTTCTTACTCCTCATCCTTAACATTATCAATTATGCCACATCTCCTCTCACTCCCCAATCAGAGCACTTAATGCCAATAAACCAAACTCAAGCATTTACAAATCATATTTTAACTGACAATCATAACTTACTTATTTGAGAGAGAGAGCACAAGAAGGGGGAGGGGCAGAGGAAGAGGGACAAGCAGACGCCCTGCTGAGCCTGTTGTAGGGGCCAGATCCCAGGACCCCCAGATCATGACCTGAGCCAAAGTTAGATGCTTAAGCAACTGAACCATCCAGGTGCCCCCAAATCCTAGATTTTTAAACTCACTCATACGCATGTCAACAGATAAAAAGATGTCGAAATTGTTATATATCTTTTAATCAGGCACAATCATTACTATCTCCCACCCTTATAATTTTCATATTAATTAACCAAATAATCTAGTCATCCACTGAGTGATTTCAACAGCACGTAAGTAGACCTAAAATCCTGGCCACTACTTTTATGAAGTTACAGTCTAATGGGGCAAGGGATAAGTGCCATGAAAACAAATACTGTAGATGATAGAAATCAATCAGTATCAGCCTTGTTCCAATACAATTGTATCTCAGCCAACCAAAGTCAAACTGCAGGCCCTAAAGCACTTATATATCAATGAACTATTAGTATTCCAGACCCTCAGTCCTTTAATCATTCATAACACCAAATATGGGTACAATTTTCGAAGACTTAGAGATAATGTGAAGCCAATGCATTTTGGTCTTATGAATCCATAGACTCCAGATTACAGGAACTATAAAAACAAATTAGGAAGCAATTATATAGTCCAACCCTCAAGATGACAAAGTAGTGGTTATGAAGATAGAGATGTTAGATAGAAAGCACCATTTAGGAACCAACTGTTAAGAATGTATACAGAGAATAAAAGAGAAAAGGAATGATGGATCAATATTGTATTTTTGGTTGATGACTTCCAAGGATCCTGGGAAATCCAGGGCTAGCACAGAAAAAAGTGAGAACCCCACATAGATGCAGAACTGAAAGAAGACCAAGGCAAGCAAGCAGCACAATAATGGCCAAACTTAAGTCATAGTTGTCAATAGTTTAGAAATAGAGGTCCCACTGATGTAACTATCACACTCTGGTCATAAATGCTACACGTAGCTTTTGTAACAGGTACTTTATCAAAGGCCATGATTGGTGAACATTTACATTATTCATCACGATTTCTTAAGCATTGGCAGGAGATATATTTAAGAGACCTGGGACCGCTTATTTCTTTGAGATGAAGTCTCAGAGGTTGTCCAAAGGTGAATGAATGTTCATGTGTGGAAAAGTGGTGGTACAACATAGGGAGAATTTCATGAGCATTTTCTCAGAGCATACAGAGGGTGACTAGAGCTATGCCCATCAGGAGAACTCAAGTGCACTACAGTCAACTTCACTAATCACCCTAGAAGTTGATTTTAGAGGAGGAACAATTTTGAGGTGGTTTCTGTGGTCAGTCACTGGGAAGGGGAGAG